AAGATGAGTATTATTACTGAGGTGTCTCCGCAAGATAGCATTACTAGAATAATGTAATAGTATTATGTCTTGAATTACGTAATCGCCTGTATTATAGACTTTAAATAACGTTCTCAAGGCCTTCGGATTTTCAGTTCCCGCGCCGAGATGACATGATATGCCTTATAATGGCGCATTATAAAAAATGTTTTGACTTTCACGATCGATGGCACGATAATGCATAATTGATCGATACCGTATCTTCGTTATTTGTTTCAAATCATTCAAACATTTATTCGATGTCCTTGTTTAATTATCAAAGAGCAAATGACTGATATTCAAATCAAAAGTACTCTCTGATACTTATAAAGTAAATTTACTTTCGAGAATATCCAAAGAAACGATGATCCGCGGATAATATCAGTGAAATGAAATTTTATCATTTCAAGTGAAGCGATTTACTTTGCGTGCGCGATAAGACGTAACAAAGACTCTCCAATGATATTTACCACTCGATATTGTTATTGTTTATGTTTATCTATCGACCATACACATCGAGATTTAAGGAGGTTGTAAGGCAAATGCAATATGTTAAGAAGTACTTGAAAAAATTACAGACTATTCTAAATTTCATTTAATAATAATACCAAAAAAAATAGAAACAATTGACCATCTGGATCAAAAGTTATTTAAATAAATAGTAATATTTTTTTAATCTGTACTCTAATATAAATATATGAAAATGTATTATACAATAATGATAAAAATCTCAATTTTTTTATATAAATACTCTAGGAATTCAACAATATTTTTGTAAAGTTTTCTTGAGATGCAGACATTAATTGTTCAGTAAATAAATAAAATTTGTTATTTGTTATAAACTAATGGTGAATCTCAATGAAACTTTGCATAAGTCATGTTTAGTATTTAATATATTTATATAAAAAAATATTTAGATTTTTCTTATTATTTTAACAATTTTTGTTTATAACAATAAAAATAATAACAAATAAAATAAATAACCTATAAAAATGTGTTGCTCAATAAAACCAGAATGTTATGAACACAACTTTCACGTGTATGTAGTTTGTTTAAAGCGTAAATAGTAATATATTTATGTAATTTGTTTAAAGCGAAAATATTAATATATGTGTTTTATGCCCTTACAACCTCCTTAAGCACGCGAGTAAATTAAAGAGAAACGTATCCCATTTCTTGAAGAAAATCATCCATTTCCTAAAACTTTTTCTAAAATAGTCTTAGATGCACTTGAGATGCACGCGTACGATTAGATTGAGATTTGCGTGTTTCTTTGTGTTCGAAAATTATAGGTATACCGACGTAATTGATGTACATCGGAAACCTCTGAGGTATCATTTTACATCGGCCTTCCTGCAAAATTGAGATCACTAACCGTACTCGTGAGAAACAAGCACGTCGAATTATTCTTTTTATGATGGATTCCTCATCGGGAACTCGGAGAAACACATATGCATGTTACTCATATTACTTATTTACGAATCAAAATGTTGCGCTCACGCGATAAAAAAAAATAAGTGAAGGCAATTATCCATCGCAATTGTCTAATAACTTGATTCTATCATAACGAAAATTTCAGTAAACAGCATTGAAAACGATCGATTCTAAAATCCCCGATTGATTCTTTTTATAGTACTCCAAAGACCGATTCGTTGCGGAAGTATTCTCATGCGAGCTATAAGAACAAGACAAATGCGTCATGTTTTTAGCCTATAAATAATCGGAATATACAGGGTGGGCCATCTATTGGTACGTTTTTAAAAATGCGATCAAATGAGCATACATTGATATTTTTTATTAATTTTTTTTAGAGGGAGCCACATGAACGAAATCGTTTTTCATTCTTGACGCGGATACTTTTAGCTTCACAACAAAAAAAAATTAATAAAAAATATCAATGTATGCTCATTTGATCGCATTTTTAAAAACGTACCAATAGATGGCCCACTCTGTAAAAACGTACCAATAGATGGCCCACCCTGTACAACGTAATCTATGACGTATACCTAACACATAAAATATGTAACGAAACGTCGCGTGTCAAATATAGTCTGATCGCAAAGGGCATTAGAGTAAATGGGTTGTGTACACATAAAGAAGTGTAGTAACAATTAGATTATCGATTTGGAGTATAGGTACAGCATTGATACTCTATATAACAGGTGGTATTGTTTAGCTTGCGTCCATGAACTGCATAGCGTCAATACATATATAGTATCGGATGGCCTGCTAGACGTTTATGTTTAATTTAAAGTATGAACTGAAGCTATTCACAAGTCTTTCGCTTTTGTGCGCCGCATTCCAGCGTTATCTCTCTCATATGCTATATCACGATGATAAGAGTACCCGGGACTGCACTCGCGGAATACGTGGAATCCGCGCCCATTGCCACGCCATTGCGTCGTGTTGCATTTCTTTAGACATGCATTTCTTTGACGTGTTTGGCACGCGAGTGGTGAACTTTCACTCGACGGTCAATGTCATCGGAAACCAGTTTGTAATCATACGAACAGCGCCGGCTGGTATACGAGAAGATGGAGAGAGAAAAAAAAAGAAAATCCTCTGTGCTTGTTTTGGAGGTTCTTTTTGGGTATGTGCAAATGACTCGAAAGACATTCACAGCTCGGGTGTTCTCGAACAATGAAGTTACCTGCTATCGCATCAGATGTTCAACACGTGATACATTATTTAAAAAACCATGTAATATCGGATAATTAATCGATACTAGGAAGATAGTTACGCGATAAGTAACATCATTTTCACGAAATAAGTTAAACGATACTTTGTAGCTAATAATATTATAAAAAGCACGTTATTGCTTGTAAAAAGTTTTTAAATCGACATTATATTCTGCTTTCCCCCATAACTCGGAAACAAATTATACACATCTAGTTATAAACCTAACCGATTAAGATGTAAAAATAAATCTCGGTCTGCAGAGAAATGAGAAAACTAAAACCGAAAACTAAAATCAATTTAAACTGAAAAGAAAAAATAAAGAAAGAAAGAGAGTGAATAGATGGTTCAATTTCTAATAGACATATCTAATAGAATTTCTAACAGATAATAAAATAAAATAATCGTAAAAAAATAGTCGGATTATTTTGACATATACATTATATTTTCTAAATCTTTTGGAGTGAAATTTTATTTCAAAAGACTAAAAAAATTGAGTCAGTCTTGAAAAAATAGTGAAAATATTTTCATTCTTGAACAAGAGTGGCAGATTTTCATTCTTTAGGAGTGAGATTTTATTCTTTTGGAGCAGAATTTCAGTCTTTTGGAGTGAATTTCACTCCAAAAGAGTAAAATCTTACTCCAAAAACAGTGAAAATCTGTCACTCTTGATCAAGAGTGAAAAGTTTCACTTTTTTTCAAGACTGGCTCAATTTTCACTCCAAAAGGTTTAGAGAATAAAGTATGATTCATATGCACGAGAAGATTGGTTGTCGCTCGTTATTAGCAACATTCGAGCTACTATAAAGATAAAGCTTCAATCTATAACGTTTCTAATTTCAATGGCGAATTATTATACACGAACATTCAACGATGCGTTAAAATATTCACTGAAAATTCCTTGCATACAGTATTCTATCTACGCGAAATAATCATACAAGCTAATAATAAAATTACAATTTCGACTTTTATGTTTAATGTCAACTGTATCACGTATATATTAAAATTTGTTTGTTTTGGTTCGTAGCTCTTCTTATTTTAATTTCTTTTATAGATATTTATTAACCTGTATTGTAATCTGGATGAAAGTTAACGTAATATTAAAATGTATTTTATTATGAAGATTTTACGATACATAATTAAGCAAATTATTTTACGAAAATAAATAATGTATGATAATTTGTAATATTTGCGAATGTAATATTTCTGGATGCTCGATGCTAAAAGCTATCCAATTTCCATTATATTACGTATGTTTAGTAAGCAATTATGGTAATTATACAGCGAGAACTCGGACGAATGCTTTCTAGAAAGACTCCGTAGTCCGTGCTGAAGTCGAATAATGTAACATTTGGAATGCAGTTCAAGGGCGCGGTACATTCACATACCGTGTAATTTACAAAATAATCCTTCTGCGGTTTCACGACTTTTTCTTGTGTGTGACGCTACGTTGTATTCTATAATAATGTACTATCATATCCAGCTAATGCCTAATCGGCTAGATACTAAATGTTACGTTACGCTCTGAATGTTAGCTTTTCTTTCCGTTTCTATCAGCCAAGTTTTATCGTGGATTTTTTAAAATCTCATTGACTTGCCCAATCGCATATTATCCAATTAATGCTAACATGAAGTATGTCGGTCACGCGTTGGAATTACGAAAGTCTCAGATCGATTTAGATAAAGAATATTCGTTAAACTGCAACGATTACGGAATATAAAGAAAAATTGATTCTTCATTCTACACACGCGGATAAAATATTATTATATAACTACACAAGTAACTATATGAATATATTAGGTTTAATTTATTCATGCCGGCGAAGAATTAACAAAATGAAGTCATCTTGATTATTTAAATGTTCGTAAAAAATACGTGATAATTCACAAAAACACTGCGTGTGTCGCTCATTAAAAAGTGATATAAATATTTGTAATACAAAGCCTGAATTTCAAAGTTCAGCAGATTTTATTAAAAATATGCTAACAACAAAAACAAACGTCTGTTACTGCACGTTAAACCGCGAAACGCATGAACGTGTAAAATGTGCTACACGTGACATTATGAAAAGATGTCACAATAACCCGAGTAACTAACCTAATAAAAGAAAGCGGAGAAATTTCCTTTTCTTTTTATACATTCAATTCTTTCGTAACATTTCGCTATATTAATCCACTTGCCTCAATCAAAAGTTAAAAAACACGTCAGTTTTAATTACGTGCAACTCGTAGGATGATATTCGACTGTGAAATAATTTATTTGATTGAGATATTGATAATAAATGGAGATAGAAATATATACTCACTATTTTTGCGGCCTTCTCGGACCTTATACGTAAGATCGGTGAATGCCAGGTCGACCGGTGGCCTCTTCGGCAAATGCGTGATCGTCTTTGGTTGCATCGGCACCATCTGCAGCCGCACCGCCGAGTTCTTCCTAGGTTGCAACAAAATTCCATTGGAATCCTCCGCCGTTGAGCAATTTCCCTCATGCTTCATCTTTTAACGAGATATTCCGTCCTTTTCTTCTAAATGCCGATCGCCGATCGTTCGATCAACCGCGCGCGTTTTTCCTTCGCAATGTTTCGAGATCGATGAATCACCTTTCGCGAAGGTAACATGCGAAAAAATTCCGTAATCGTCGATTTTTCACAACCTGCAATATCGCCCACATGATGCAATGCACTTCGCAAGACATGTTAAATATAGCGTTTGATTTTTGGGAGGGGGGGAAAGAGAAAATTATATCCGTACTACGAGTTATGTTTCCGTAGCATGTTTGATTCGATAGCAAATTTATTCGCTGACGTTGTGGAACCAATCACGTGGAACTATTTAAACTTTACTCGTGTTTGCAAATTTTTTTTTTATTAGAATTGAATCGCGCTTCTTTCAATTCAGTGAAGATGTTAAAATTTTATACTCTGCTTTATAATAATTTACTTAAACATGCAAGTCTCTTTTCTCCAAAAAATTGCGCTTCCATCGAATCAGCTGTTGAGGTTTTACATCCCATTTTATCATAATTTAATACTATTCACGGAACGATGCAAAAAATATTAAAAGAAAAAAATCGTAAATACTGAGATGAGAATAAATGTTACATTTGTACAGAATATCGAAAGAACAGCTTTTTGTTAAGTATTTTGTTGAAGTATCTAAAAATTTAGTTAAATATAGATCTGAAAATAATTTTGTTGGACATCAAAATAATTACATAAGAATCTCAACATGATGAGCAATAAGTCTTAACATTCTAGCAACAAACCCTATATCTTAATGATCAACCTTCCCAAATTAGGAGGGACAGTCAAATTTTAACTCTTCGTCCCAAATTTTGTCCCAAATTAAGGACACGATTATAAATTGTTCCTCTTTTAAGTGTAAAAATAATAAATGTAAAATAACAAGTGAATATAATAAGTGTGAAATATAATTTTCAACTAATATGTAAAAATGTTTTGTGATTTTTTATTTAAAATCCTATACTGAGAAAAAAACATAGTCAATTTTAATAAATATTTAGTTCAATACTGCCAACTAAACATTTACTTACAGTAAATGAATATTTGTTTAGTAAAAAAAATGATTGTGAAATTAAATTAACATTTCTTTTATCAAATAAATATATCTTTATATTTAATAAATATTCAGTTGGCAGTATTCAACTAAATATTTATTAAAATTAACTATATTTTTTTTCATTGTAGCTATTACTCATAAAATACATTCACAGTAAAAATAAAATACAATTAAAAAAAATATAATATGATCTCGTAACGCGACGTAATCTTTATTGTGATCTCATGTGATGTTATACAAGTGTTAGTTATTTAAAAACATAATAATATAAAATGTTGTTTATGCGTTTCGTTAACAATTATTTAAAAAATGTTTATTAAAATTTAATTACGACAATTAATATTGAATCTTTTTTAAATATCTTTCTTTGCCTTCTTAATCACCTTATTCTGCATAATTATGTATTTTGATATTCAACAAAATTATTTTCAGATGTATATCTAGCTAAATTTTTAGATACTTCAGCAAAATCGTCTATGCATAAATATTATTTGATCATTTTTTATATATAATCTTTTAGTATACATGATAATTTTCGGGGGTTAATTTTCATCACTCTAACAAATACACAAAAATTATTAAATGATTCTTACGTATATTTTAATAGCCGAGAGATTAATCACTAATAAAAATGATTTCCAATTTCTTATATTCACTTCAACGTGATTTCAAAGTGATTTTCTTTGTTATCCGAAAGAAATTCGGGACGTGCGACCGAGCGTATGGCGATACTTTTTTATTTCAAACTATTTCTTTATTTCAGTGATGAATTGCTTCGTTGACTGATTTCCTCGCTGATTTCGTAGATGAATAGCCTCTCATCAACATTTTTAGAAAGTATTCGTAAGATTGTGTATTTAAATAAATTGTATATAAATGTTATAACTAATCACTTGATACTCTAGTTTTTCGAATAAGAGAAACGTGCAGGACACGATGATCTAATCGTGTATACTAAGAATTAAAAATGATTATATAAGCATTAACATTAAGCTATTTTATCGCAGTATAATAGAAGCAAAACATAAATAGTTAATTATACGGTTTCTGAGATGCAATTCACTCTAATCGATTATTATAATTTTATTCGTCTGATAAAATAAATCACTATACAGATCACTAGACATTTACATAAAAACCGCCATTACCTGTAATTTCCTAACATTAACATATAATATCGGTTAGGCGTAAAACGATCATATGTAATAAAAATATATGTAAAGCACACAAGGAAAAATAAGATGTAAATATAAAATAACCTTGTAAATTAATATTTTATACAAGTATACGAACAACTTCTGATTGATTGTCATCATCGTAACAGACTTTTTTACAATGACGATTATTATTTTACAAAGTTTTTATGTAACCATTTTCCTTGTTTTAAAATTAATTCTATACGATAAGAAACACTTGAGCCGCCGTATTGTATTGCAATAACAAAACTCGCAGCAAGAAAAGTCACCAAGTTTTTTTTCCAGGAAATACACAAATAGACATTTATGGAATCATTTAAAAAATAATCTTTCTCTTTCTTACGAAGGTTCTACTCCAGCAAATGACAGCGAAAATCACAGAACCGAAACCGCCTCTTTCATAGATATTGTCTACGTTCAGTAGAGAAAATTATCAGTTAGCGATAATTGATAATGATTGATTTTTGCCTTTAGTTCTTCGCCAAATCTAAATGTAGAAATTAATCGTATTAAAGAATCACTAAGCGCTAAAAAAAAAACTGATTAGTTTTCTCTACTAAACGCAACTATTCTTTTGTGGAAAAAAGCGAAGAATAGAATAATTTTGATGCACTGATTCTTACATTGCCCAACTTCGCGATGTTTCCTTTTGCCGTCGTTGGAGAAACCTCTCCACGGATACCGAAGCTAGCCCTGAGATGCAGCGAGGCGCATCTCCGGACTTGGCACAGAACGATCGCGAATACAAGTGTGAATGAGACGATCAAGAATAACAGACGCGACACACTCGATCCATACGATTGCACGTGTCGCGGCACACTCCCGAGCATACGCGACGCACCGAGCTTTTTAGAATCCCACCGGATACGCTCCGATAACAAAGACTCGTGGCAGGAAGCAACCGGTGCGGTGGGGAACGGTGAGAGACGAGCGAGCGGTGCTTTACACCTTGCGATGCACCCGCCACCCGCGACGACTCGAACTGAACTGAGCTAAAAAGCCGCGACCACAAGTCCGTTGCCGTTGACCGACGTCCCTTTTGTCTCGCTCCCCTGGCCTTCCTACCCCTTTTCCATTCTGTCCGACTAAAGAAGAAGGCATTCACGGTTGAACATGAGAACAACGCTATCGACAGATCAAAGTCTACGTAGATGCGATGACTAACATAATGTTAGCAACATCCGCGCCGAGGGAGGTCAGTCATCCTCTTTGATCTTATCACCATCTTTTTGCCATTTTTATACGATAGAAAATTAGAAAGCCGTAGGCGGATATGACGTCTAATAACTGTTGAAAATCGTATGAATTCTCACTGCATTTTAACGAATCATTCTCACACACAATCAAATTGAGAATTTCAATACTGCAATGTCTATACTACATGGCATCGAAAAAAATTTGTGTGAAATATAAAGTGGCGTCTACAATGAAATTTTGTCTCGGTCAACAACTTTGCTTTAAGAAGCCTTAAGTCATAAGTCGAAAGAGGTTAAGTGACAATAATTTCTGTCTTTACTGTTTTTGCATAATCTTTAAGCTTTAACCATTAGACCTAAGCGAATTGAGCAAAACCCAATTCTTACGGCCTAAAAGCATAAGTTCTGTGATCGATATATTGTCACTTAGAGTTTACGGTTTAAGACCTCTTAGGCCCGGTTTTTCATTAGTCCGGATCTACAATAGGTGATTTAAGCCTTAAGACGTAAGAAATTGACCAATTATAGTCAAATGCGAGAAGAATAATCGACTGTGATTCGTCCATTTCTTACTCTCTAAATCTGAATCAATGGATAGTCACTAATTACCTAGTGGCATACTTTGTACTGATAATCAATGAAGTTCAATTAAAAAAGGAAGAATGTTTGAGCAAAATACAACTAAAATACTGATATTTGCACGTTAATTTCAATTTTCCAACTTTTAAGTCCAATATCATACTTATTGAATTTAAGCACTAAAACAAGGTTAGTTAGATCATGCAATAAATATTAGCTAGGTTAAGGATCTCACATTTAATTCATTGATTACCAGTGGCATACTTGGTACTGATATTAGTGATTATTCAGATTTAGAGAATATAGCTTAAGGTTTAAAAACCTATTGTAGATCCGGACTTACCTGGTTAACTTGTGATTAGGCTTACCTAATGTTTTATCTAATGGACTTCATCTGTGATGATGTTATAGATGAAGCCCATTGGGTGAAACATCAGGTTAAGCTTAACTACAAGTTAACCAGATAATGGAAAACCGGGCTTTAAAGTAAGGTTGTGGACCGAGACTTTAAGGCGTAAAACTTAAACTTTAAGTACTAAGCAGTAAGAAATTAACTGATCATAGTCGAGTGTTCTCACATTCGATTGCGATGGGTCAATTTCTTACGGTTTACGATTTTCTTAGAGTTTAAAGCTTAAGTTTTACGCTTTAAAATTTCATTGTAGACGCCACTTATAATGGAGATAAAATTAAATATAACAACTTTTAATGTATTTAATCTCTTGTCGTACACACACACTTTAGAATTAGATTATATACAATACAATATGGTTGTAAATAAATCGCGTCCTCTGAATTGCTACTGCTAGCACTCACTTAAATGGTTCCTAAGCAGAGATACGTTTGTCCACAGCGACAGTTCACAGAAGAGAACAAAGGAAACG